GGATGATGCCTTCGGGCCCTTTGAGAGCTACTCCTACCAGGTTGGTCAATGATAGGAGGTCAGACAAACTCAGTCTCCTGGTCCTCTAGGTTGAGGATTTGAAATGGGATGGCGTCCATTTCTGTAAACCTAAATCATTGCCATCTTCCCGCTGCCTTGCGGACAGGCTTTTCAGCCAAATGTTCTGGATGAGGACCCTAATCGTCCTCTTGTCTAGGTCTGGGCGCCCTGGCAGTATCTCAGCCCACATACAACCATAACATTTTCTTCAAACATAAACTTCATCCTGCATCCGCTGTCACGCAGATTATCAAGGGTCGCCTTATCTGCAGCATACAGCAGGGCGGGTGAGCGAAATATGCTACTGCTGGCGCCTCCTTTCTCTTCCCCCTTTTTCTCTTACTCCCAGCCCGACCCCCCTTACTAACCTTCCTTCTGTAATTCCCAGCTTAATTGACAGCAACCGAAGTGCCACTGGAGTAAAACCACCTGCAGCCACCTTCTGGCGGCAGGCACCGGACGCCTTTCGAAAAAAGTCCCTAATAAGGCCACACTATGCCGTTTCCATGGCGACATTCAACGTTTGCACTCCAAAACAAACAGGTCAACGGGCTGCACTCGCACGTACCTTGGACACATTGGGTATTGATGTGTGTTATGTGTCCGAAACTAGCATCAATGACCCTAATGGGGTTATTGAATTAACTGCACCCGGCTTATCCTCTCGTTATTGGTTGCACGCATCCGGAGACGCCGATACAGCACTCACGGGTCAAGCTGGTGTAGAATCATTCTAAGCTCCATGGTTTAGCCATCGTTGGTTGATTGCATTCCGGTGAACAGCCATTTATGTGCAGCCTGTTTGAAGACATCAGCTAAGGTTGTTTCAAGAACTAGTACAAAACGCTGTTTGTTTGTGATTCCGTTTATGCTCCCACCGACTGTAGTTCAGATGTTGTCAAGGACACATTTTATGACGAACTGAACACGTTACTACGCAGTGCTACTAGTTCTGATATTCTAGCACTCGCAGGGGATATGAACGCACAAGTAGGGCGTCTGAGCTCTTCAGAAGCTCAGCTGGGTGGTAATTATGGGCTTAACTCTGAACGGACTGACAACGGTGAGCGTCTGCTGTAACTGTGTGCGGAGGACCAGTTGTTTCTTAGTAGCACTGCTTTTAGACACAGTGGGCGCCGAAGTGCCACTTGGCGTCCTCCTGTAGATGGCCAACGATGGACCCAAATTGACCACATAGCCATATGTTACAGGTGGCATGGTTCCATGCTGGATTGTCGCTCATACTGAAATACCTGTGTCGACTCTGATTATGCCTTGGTACGCTGCCGTTTCTCCATGTACTTTACCGGGAGGCGCACCAATCGTCCCTTTCGATTGACAACGGAGAAATTGTCCAAATCCTCGGCCAGGCAAGCTTATCAAGAAGCAGTGCATACCGAACTTCCGCAGTCTTGTCCTAATGACACTGAGCTTCAGTGGAATAGGATCCCGGCCGCGATGCACTACGCAGCAGCATCTGTTTGTGGAACTGTCCATCATCACCGCATCAGTTACTGGATATCCGAGAGGTCGGTGAACCTGTTGGAATCTAGAAGACACCTCTCGGATGGCTCTGAACACAATGTGACCAGATGGAGGGTTAGGCGTGAACTAAAGCAGAGACTACGTGCTGACAAGCAAGCCTGGTGGACCAGCCGGGCTCAAGAAATGGAGGAATCAGGAGCAGTAGGCAATTACTGCAAGCTCTTCCAGCTAATCCGCATCACTGGACCCAGAAAACCAGGCGTCAGTGAGACAATCAGAGACAGGGCGGATACGCTGATACACAATAAGGAGCGTCGTATGGCTTGTTGGGCGGAACACTTTCAAGATCAATTCAATTGGCCTCCTGCTCCCGGACCTCTTCCTACTCAGGTGATGCAGGACGAGCCCTGGACGGTTAGTTTAGATTCTCCGTCGGAGACCGAGGTCCGAAACGCGATCACAGCCCTTAATCGTTTTCGTGCCGCTGGCCCGGATTCACTCCCACCTGCACTATTTAAGGTTGGAGATGAGGTCCTCCACAAAGCACTGACCTCCCTATTCGAATGTATCTGGAAGAATGAGAGTCTCCTGGCTAATTGAAGCGAATCGATTATAGTGGCAATATACAAGAAGGACGGTCGCACAGACTGTTCTAACCACAGGGGTATTAGCCAAACGCCAGTTGTGAAAAAATTATTGGCCTCGATTATGGTGCGCCAACTCACTGCGGGACGGGAATCTCGCATTAGGGAAGAGCAGGCCGGCTTCCGCCCAGGACGTGGCTGTATAGACATATTCCCTTTGCGGCAGGTGCTAGAGCAGCGCCACGCATACCGCAGACCGACAATAGCTGTGTTCCTCGATTTCAAGGGTGCGTTCGATTTAGTCGATCGATCGACGCTGTTCGAATTACTTGCTCGAAAAGGTGTTCCATGAAATATGTGAACATCCTTCGTGCGCTATACTCGAACACTACAGGCCGCGACAGTGTCTACGGTGTCCTATCGGATAGCTTTCCGACCACAATGGCGTTCGTCAGGGTTGTCCGATTTCCCCATTTTTGTTTAATTTCGTCGTGATTTCTACCATGAAGTGTTCCCTTGGGGAATCTCACCATGTAGGCGTTGAAGTGCTGCCTGATGAAAGGTTAGTTAACCTAGATTATGCGGACGATATCGTCTTGCTTTTCGACGATGTTGGGGCGGCACAATCAACCCTGAATAGCCTGTCCAGAGCGGTTCCATTATTTGGTATGCACTTCGCAGCTTCAAAGTGCAGTGTTGCTATAGGACCACCAGCCACTTGATGACCTCTTGGCGCTTGCTGACGAGGAACTCAAGGTGGTCGATCATTTCACTTATCCTGGCAGCTGCACCAGCTATGATGTGCGCATAGAAACTGACGTCAGCTCACGCATTGCAAAAGCCAGAGCTAGCTTCTTGAACCTGCGGCATCTTTGGCGAAATAAGGGTGTTTCCCTCCATTTGAAAGGCCGGGTATACAAAGCCACAGTGAGGACAGTTCTACTCTATGGTAGTGAGACTTGGCCCCTTCGGTCTGAAGATCTGAGGCGCCTTCAAGTCTGTGATCATCGTTGTCTGCGAAGCATTGCTAGAGTCGGATGGCACCAGCGTGTCGGCATAGGCGAGTACTAGGCGGTGATAATCATGCTAGCTCCCTAGAACAACAGATAGCACTGATTAAGTTGTGTTGGCTGGGACACGTGCTCCGTATGCCTGGTCACCGCTTACCTAGGAGGGCCTTGTTCAGTCTACCAGATTTAAGGTGGCGCAAGGCTCGAGGTGGACAGAAGTTGACTTGGCAGTGGGAAATGAAGTCACTGACAACCAAACTGGGTGCCGTTGGTCCGTCTCACCTGCCGGACTGGAGTTCACGTGACTCGCCTTGTGCTTGGCTAGAGACTTTACAGGACATGGCTCGCAGTACACACCAGTGGCGCATCTGCTGCCGTCTCCTAATTGGATTGCCTGTTTAAAGTCTGTTTGGTGCTGAGTTTTCTGTGGGGTAATGGCTGATTAGGACGCGTGGCAGTGAAAGCCGCAAGGAAGCTGTCACGCCGATGCTGCCTTATCTTTGCACGATAGGCAGCTGTTTAGTGACAGTACGTTGTCTAAAGAAGGTGTAGGCGCTTTGACCCTGAATGTTTGCTTATGGCATTAAGGTTTTCAGGTAAGTCTCCCTTCTCTCCCTCTTCTTATTCTTTATTTAATAGGTCGGCATGGATGTATGGCAACGGAGCATCAGTTTAAATGGCTGATGTACTGCTGTTGATGAGGAGGATGATGAGGCGCACTTCTACCGGTGCTGACAATGTCCGTCCAAAAGCGCTGTATTTGGCTGACATGAACTTGATCGGACTTCTCTACATCTTTCCAACGTTATGTCACCGGGATGCGGGTTCCGGCAATGTGAAAGCCTCGTATTCTGCTACTTAAAGACAAGTACTGGATTCTGATAAATCCGGCCAACTACCACCTGATAACTCCTTACGGGGTTTCCCAAAATCATGGCGGCCGCTATAGCAGAAACACTCATGGATTATTTTGGGAGAAGCAACATCATCACACCCGAACTGCATGGATTCCTTCAACACAGTTTTTGCACCACAAGCCTATCACCTGCTCTCTGAAGTTGCAGTGATAGCACCGATGCCGGTGTGGGAGTCGATCCGATTTATCTGTACTTCTCAAGGACGTTCGGCAGCTTAAAAGCTTTCGGAATACTGGTAGCTCGGATTGACGACTCAGTTGTTCGTTTGTTTGTTGAACCTACCAATCTGATTGCAAACGTTTCGCCACCATGCGCGGTGGCATCGTCGGTGCAGTGATATGTGGGTCGTATCCTGCAACCTGTAATTCGCCACTTGGGATAGATATCACAGACCTTGAAAACGATTTAACTGCATTGTCACATCAAACATAAACAACCGATAGTTTGGGTTTTAATACCTTTTCATCTTTACTTCTGTACATGCTCGATGAGCGAGTTGCTACTAGAAATACTGTCGTCATCAAGCTAGCACTGTCGTATCTTGATCGGTAGGTTATTGTACTAACTGTGGCGCAACCTGACTGGTAGAAATTTGCGCATGATTACACTCATACTGAGACTGAGCTTCACTCACAAGGTTAGACTTGAATCGACACTGCATTATAATATAGCTGTACTGCATAACACCAAACCTGCTAATGGCTACTGCCCTCCATAACGTAGTAGCCTCTTCATAGGTGAAAAGTATTCACGCTACTCAACTCTATTGATTTCTAGGCATCACTGGACTTGTGCCGTTGGCCTTACTGCTTACGTGTGCATCGTATCGGTCATATAACAGACCAATGCAACGGCAGAACAAGCACGAACCATCCCATTCAAATTTAATTTCTGCTACGCGATATGTTATACCCATCATAAACCATGGTCCAAAGAAACTGACAACCGAAAATACTATTGTATTGATTTACCATGAATGAATACCAACTTTGCGAGACAGTGCCAGCAAAATCATCTGCGTTGTGTCAAACAGAAGCTGAACTAAGCCTCAGTGACTGAGTGAACGAATGAAATGGCAACATGATAATCTGTTTTTGGTTGCTAACCAACTGCTGACTCACCCTTCAAGTCCAGAAGTTACTAGTGAATGATCAGATGCTGTTGGCCACATACCCGATAGGCATCTGAGAGCGATGGGATGGCAGTCGTAAGACAAAGTGCGCATGGGAGAAATGAAAAAAGTGCGAAAATAGACCGACGCGCTGAATGTGTGGGTATTTGCAATGGTAGCATCTTTCGCTTCTACCGGTTATTCCCTCATCATTTATATACCACAACAGGTCTCATTCCCGGTTCTGGGGGAGGGGCAGCTTGTTTAGCATGTCGCTCACAGTACAATTTTTCATTGATGTAGAAATAACCAACGTTGCGTAACCCAATACCACATTTGCAACATTTTAGACACTCCGGATGCATTGGGATCCGACCCTGCACTTTAACAAATACATCACGAATAAATTCCCCACAGCAGCCACAGAATTTGGTCGCCACTTCACTTCGCGGTATGGCTCCTGTACTAGGATGAGACGTTGGTCTATTGGAAACCGATTGAACGGTTCTTTCAAACGTCTCATTCATATTCCGTTTGGCATATAGGCCCATAGGGGAGTTGTAAGCTGAATGTTTAATTTGGTGAAATCTGCCGTCTGTTCCTTGAGCAATGAGTGACTCACCCGGTTTTGGTGGAGCCTGCCCAAATGGCACCGGAGACACGTTGTGACTGACCCCAATCCCTTGATCGAAATTATGTGACGTAGCCTCCAGATTAGTTCGAGTTCCGACGGTTCCGTTGCCACCATAACCACCGCTGCTCACCAATTTCGGCTGCCAAACTGCTCCAGTCGAGTAAACTTTACTCGGTGTGACTTTGTTAAATTCGCTGCTCGTAGGAGTTGATATCTGTTTCAGATGGACCGGCTCACGTTCGATCAACATTTCGAGATCGTTTCCGGATCGAATTATCTCCATCTTGGCATCTTCGTGACGCATCCATTGAGTTTCCGATTTGTTAATTCTTATCACATGGTCTCCGGCTCTTAGTCCACAATAATCGGCCACACCACCAGGATTAACGCGTATGATATTTATCGCATGACCAATGTCCACTCCACCTTCGAGGCGAAATCCCCAAGGTATTGAAGTGTCCTCCCTGGACAGGCGAATGTTCAGCAGCCGAGATGTTGTTGCCGACTGTGCCATCTTGACTGCATACTCCCTCAAACTGGGCTGCTGGCAATATTCTAAGAACCAGACATTTGGCTGTTCACTGTCCACTGATTTGTGCCCACAGTGCACGTACGCAGCGCACGTCCGCCTGAGGGTGCTGCTTTCATTGGGCTGACGATAGAGACAAACTGCTGTCTTTGAATTGGCATTCACATTTAGAATGGATCGCCGAATGAGTGGGCGGTGCATAGCCCAAGCAACAGTGGCTGAATAGTAGGAAGGTGAACATATCCACCCGCGTTTCGGATGGGCTTGTGTGTGCATGTGTCCCTTCGGAACCGGTATGAAATGGTATCACCAGTTGACCTTGTGCGGTGCAGCTTAGCTTCACCACAGTTCTAAACTTGGTTATTGGAATGTTGGAAATATGTGTTGACCACAACTGAAAATGCTCCCATATTGGCGGGTAATGCTTATTTGTGACTAATTTATTATCGCAACAGATGTTCGTTACGGAATGTGTCCTTTGTACTAATACAGCCCTTCAGTAATTAGCATCAATCTAGTAAAGAGCTTGTACAATAACAGAGTGAAGTGATCGATTACAATGGAAAAAGGAAGGTGTGCTTTACATATCCAACTGGTTGTTCAGCTCGAACTGGACAAAAGTAAAGAATCGGATAGCTAGCAATTAATGCTTATGGGGCGCTTTCAAGTTTCACTCACTAGTCAATGGAACAATGGTTTAATAGGGGTAGAAAAGTCAAAGCTTAGCGGGTCCGGTAGTATGGGCATGGTGAAAAGTTAAAATATGGAAAAGTTGTCATCATACTTATGTTTATACCATGGGGTCACTGAGGTATAATATCATAAAGTGTAAATCCACCCATGGCTAAACAAGAGTGTCTGGCAAAGTTTTCACTGCCGTTCAGTTCCCAGAATGTCTCACCTTTTTCACTCCCTACAAGTATTCCCCGGGTGATACGGTTCTCACAAACATCGCATTTATCGCCATTATAAGGAATAGCGACAAATGCGATGTTTGTGAGAACCGTGTCAACCGGTGAATACATGTAAGAGGTGAAAACGGTGAGACGTATTCTAGGAATTGAACGGCAATGAAAACGCTAACAGACACCCTGGTTTAGTCATGGGGAAGGAGTCATATAAAATAGTGCAGAGAAATGACTGCACGGTCAACTTTGGTTCTGAACTCCACCAGCGAGTTAGTACATATGACAGATTCCGGTATGGCTTTTCACGCTTTGATAACGCGTGCGGAAAATAAATTCCGACGGCATTCCAAACGACTGCAATTCTGAGCTGAGGGTCTCTCAGATTACTGTTTTGACCGAGTTCTAGCAAATGGTTGCACGTGTGGTTAGCATCTCTCCAAAGCTGGTATTTTATACAAAGGTCCCTGGCAATCTCCGGTATTGTTCACTGAAGACCCCGAGAACACTGTCTCCGTAAATTTGGTAAACGGTACAAGTCCCATGACATTCTTAGTTGCTTGGCGCTGTGGTATCTCCAAAACGGTGAGATCTGTCCTCAGCCATGGTTACCAGACCTGTAGTGCATACTCCACATGTGGACGTATGTATGAGCCGATAAGATAGTAAAATGTCGACGAGTCGAGTCGTCCAAACGCAAGCTGCATCAAGCCCACGTTTTAAATGTCTTTTCCGCCTGGTCGACCTAGATCTACACAACCAGACCCTTTTTGTTGGAGGACGTTTGGAGCTTCTGGTTGTCCAGTTGCTATCAGACCGTTAACTGGTGTCGTAAGTGCAGCAGTTCACAATTTTCCACATTGAACCGAAATAGATTTTGGGTTGACTATCCGTAGACCCCGCTCAGATCGGCTTTAAGTAGTGAAATACCGTCTGGCCTATTGATCCCTATCCACACCATGATGTCACCAACATAGAGTATACAGTTCGAGCTTATGAAGTGTGTGATATCATCGATATACACCGAGAACAACCGCGGCCCCAGTACCGATCCCAGGGGTTCTCCGCATTCGACTTGGATGGGATCTGATAGGGATTCACGCACTCTTACCTCAAAGCGCCGGTGGAGGACAAAGTTTCTTATCCATACTAGGGAAGGATCACCAAAGCCGAAGCTTTAAAGTTGAATAAAAGGATACCTTGATCAAATCGGTCGAAAGCTCTAGAAAAGGCGCGAAAAATTACATCAACTCATGCACCAGTATCTGCTTCTTCAGTCCAGCTGGATAGTGCAAGTAGTAGATTTTACTGCACGATCGATTTGGTCGAACGCCACGCAGTTCTTGTACAAGCTTGGATAAATACTTTTAAGTACGCCGTTAAGCCATCGGCGATAATCGCTTCCGTGATCTTTGAAAGCACCGGTAGGGTGGTTACACGACAGTAGTTGACTGGATCGGAACGACTGCGGTTTTATGAATTGCAATGTTCATCTCCGGTTTCCACATGTCAGGCACATACATTTCGTTAAAACGGCGTTAGAAAAATTGTATCATATCTCAGCTAAGCTCTCTCCTACCACCGCAAGTGACTTTGGGTGAATATTATCAACACCAGCAGAGCTGTGTCTAGGTATACACAGAGGCTATTTCAGTACAGTTTCTGTCGTAAATGATATGTACGTGAGTTTTGTGGATGAGGAAACACCAGCTACAAGATTAGGGGACCACTGAATGCACCGAAAGGTTAGAGTATATTGCAGTCGCAGGGCTGGACCATCGCAATGAGGCTGGACCTTACCGTGATGCGATGGTTTGTGTGCCTCAGTGATCCATTGAGCTATACATTTTTGCACCTTCAGAGCCACTCATACCAGATTGGTCAATGGTTAGAGGCCAGACAAACTCAGCCTCCTGGTCCTCCAGGTTGGGGGTTGGAATGAGGGTGGCTCCTTATTCCCTTTAAAACGGAGTCCTTGTAGCCCAGTGCCAAACCCGCTGCCATGCGGTAAGGTTTTGGAACCAAAGGTTTTGGTTGAGAACCCTAATCGTTCTCCTGTCTAGGCTTGGACAACCTGACAGTAACCTGCCCACGCAATACATCGAATCTCTCTTTAAACAAATTTCTGATGCTCTGGCCACCGTAGAGGATAATCAACGGTGCCCTATCTGCTGCATCGAGCAGGGTGGATAGGGGTTTGGATGCTACTGCTCAAGCCTTCCCGTCTTCTTATTCCCCCTCTGACGCTTTTTCACCCTTATCGTCAAGTGCCAGCTTTACTTTTATCCCCTTGTTTCCAAAACCCGGTTCTCGGCTCTCCCCCACCTTGCTTCAATAGTCCCTTGTCTTTTAGTTTCAACTCATATGTGAACGCGGAGCGTCATTCCTGCCCTGTCAACAGGTCCATGTCCAAGCAAGCGGTCAAGCCCAGATCATCGGCTTCCATTTGGAGCCCTCGATCGTCCTTCAGATTGGCATGCCTCAATGTTCGTACACGGCTTCAGATCGATCAACAGGCAGCACTTGCCCGAACATTAGAGATCCTCCCGATCGATATCTGCTGCATATCGGAGACCCGCCTGCAAGACTCGAGCTCTGTGCTCACTTTGCCATTCCTTTCAGATGACACCAGCAGCACTTTCTCATTGCACCTATCCGGTGACGATGCAGCTTCGAGCACCGGCCAAGCCGGTGTTGGTATTGCCCTGAGTCCCCGGGCTGAAGCTGCTCTGGTTGATTGGATTCTAATCACTAGCCGGATGTGTGCGGTCCGATTGGCTGGCTCGTTCAAAGCTTTGAACTGGCATGTGACTAACAGGTGTCTATTCGTTATCGCTGCCTATGCGCCAACAAACTCTAGCGATGACTCAGTAAAAGACGACTTCTATCGCCAACTGAACGCGCTCCATAGCCACAGAAGGAGCTCGGACACTGTAGTGCTGGCTGGGGATCTGAACGCTCAAGTTGGAAAATTATCCACTGAGGAAATGCATCTGGGCGGCCAACATGGTGTAGGCTCCCGTAATGATAACGGCGAGCAGTTACTTCATTTGTGTGAGGATGCTCGCTTATTTCTTGCGAGCACTAATTTCCGACACAGCACCTGCCGGAGGGTGACTTGGCGCCCACCAGCCTCGAACCAGCTATGGACGCAAATCGATCACATCGCTATCAGTTACCGCTGGAGAGGCTGCGTCCAGAACTGTCGCTCGATTTGGAGCACATGTGTAGACACCGACCGTACACGTGTATGTGCTGACCTGCGGATGCGCTTTGGCGGACGCGCACAAAGACGTTGTGGCCGCATTGACTCCAGCCGACTTGCGAAACCAGCTGTGTTGAATCCCAATCAAAGTACGCTATCAGGCGAGTTGGATAAATGCTCACTGGTTGCATTTGAAGCTCACTGGTCTCATATTCACCAGACCTTACTAGCAGCAGGAAAATCCTCAATTGATATGTCTAATTGCAAACTTGGACATTGGGTCTCTTCACAGTCTCTGGAACTTATAGATGGTCGCCGATATATTCCGGCTAGAAGCGTACACAATGAAACTCACAAAATGATACAGGCAAAACTCGGTGCTAGCCTGAAGAGAGACCGCAAATTCTGGTGGTCCCATCGTGCATTAGAGATGGAAATGGCCGCTGCCCTCGGAAACCATTGTAAATTATTCCGGCTGATACGGGAATCGGACAACAGGAGACCTGGTGTTAGTAAAACTACTGTTGGGCGGAGTCTGGGATACTAGTCAGTAAGCAATGATACGTAAGACATATCAAATACAAGACAGTATAGAAGTCGGATGCGACTGAATCCACCGTATATTGTGCAGGCTACAAAAGGAGAAGGCGAATCAGCCAGAGCGAGAAACGGTGCAAAAAGGCACTCACCAAAACGTTTAGTGTCGACGGATGTGCAGTCAGTAAAACAAATGGACGTTTTGAAGGTTAAAACAACCGTACAATCCAATGTTGCAAAATACTGAAAGCGCGTGTTTTCCGGTACATACAAGGACCTCCCCCTAGAAGGCGGAAGGATGGAAGTCTTCGATGAAGCTGTTAGTGGGAGAAAACGGAAGGTGAGGATGGTGCGAATAGTTGCAAACGTTTACAAAACCTGAAAATAGACCGCACGTTTGACCTGTCTACCGCGTCGGTCGGTTGCCTTGGGTTGAGGCGGGATAGGTTGAGGTTCAGGGGGTACGGAGGGTTTCGGACTATCTAGTGCTCGGGAAGACACCGCAGCTGCGGCTGCTTGAGCGAAAGCATCAGGATTGGTTGCAAGTGGCTCGT